CTATCCATATTGAATAACTGGAATTTGACTATGTAAAATTGGGAGGTAATAGTTGCCAGTATTTTAGAAGACAGAGTATACTGAAAAGTATATTTATTCAAAGCAGCATTTGAATAGTTGTGGACTGAGTAGGTTAGGACAAATGGAAGAAGTTTTTCTAAGCTCTTCTGGGTTACCTACTCAAATGACGTCTTTGTGGAAAAGGTAACTGTGGAGCAGAGTTACAAAAGAAGGAAATGTTTTTTCATAAAGTTTAATAACTGAAGAAAATGAATATTTACATGAAAAATGCACTGAGTAGTGCTCACGATACTAAAATTAGAGGCAATTTTCCAACACGTGCTTTATTGCAGCAGGAAAAAATGAATAGATTCTACCAATTTTTGTTCAAAAAAGGTTTATATATAAACATGTACATTTACAAATATATCAAGTTATAGAAACCATGGAGGAATATAATGGAATAATTTTACTAATCAATAAGTGAGTAATTGAACTTCTATTATTTGCTAATCAATTATAGTATTTACTCTGTTTATAGAGACTATATATAGTGTTCTCACATTATGTTGATAATTAGATCTATCATTCTTAGGGTTAAAAAATAAAATATATTTCCTCATTCCTTATAGTATGTTATAATCTGATATATGTTAGAATATAATATATGCTTTAATATATTCTGATATTGGTAATGAATTGTGATTTTGGTCTTTAAAGTTTTACTTTTGCTTTTTGATGAGCTTAAGCTCACCCATTCTGTTTTTAGGAGATAGAATAAAGGAATACATATTACCCATAGCTATGTTCTTTCTATGTCTCTCAACAAAAATGAAACTATATTTTGCATAAGATAAATACAAAATGAGAATTATTTGCCTTATTTACCATCTCTCAAAAATATGGTCTGTTTTGTGAATATTTCTTAACTGCTGTTGTGTTTTAAAAATAAAAGAATAAATATTTTTTAAATGGCATCAGCAAGATATTAAATGTAAGGCGAAAGGATGGATTATAAGGGACATTTCAGAACTGCACTGATGATTATGATGTTGAACATTATGAATCATGTCTTTATATACTTAAAAGAAGATTTATTTACTTAAGTATATCATGTCATCATATACATAAAAGAAGATTTAAAAGGAAAACAAGAGAGAAATGAACAACCACAGTGTGATCACAGAGTTTGTCCTCTTAGGCCTTTCTGATGATCCTGACCTTCAGATTGTGATTTCCCTCTTTCTGTTTGTCACATATATTTTAAGCATCACTGGAAACATGACTATCATCACCCTAACCTTGGTGGACTCCCATCTGCAGACCCCAATGTATTTCTTCCTCCGGAACTTCTCCTTCTTAGAAATCTCCTTTACGACAGTATGCATCCCGAGATTTCTGGGGGCAATTATCACCAGGGATAAGACCATTTCCTACAACAGCTGTGCAGCTCAGCTCTTTTTCTTTATATTTACCGGAGTGACTGAATTTTACCTTCTCACAGCCATGTCCTACGACCGCTATGTGGCCATCTGCAAGCCCCTGCACTACACAACCATCATGAATAGGAAGCTCTGCACCTTGCTCGTATTATGTGCTTGGCTGGGGGGGTTTCTGACTGTTTTCCCTCCCCTTATGCTTCTCCTCCAGATGAATTACTGTGCTTCCAATGTTATTGACCACTTTGCATGTGACTACTTTCCACTCTTACAACTATCTTGCTCAGACACATGGCTCCTAGAAGTAATTGGCTTTTACTTTGCTGTGGTTACTTTGCTGTTCACCTTGACATTAATGGCTTTGTCCTACATGTCCATCATCAGGACTATTCTGAGAATCCC